GGGGGAGGACATGGGGCAGAGGTGTGGGGGGCGGGAGGAGATTGGGGGAGGAGCCGGGAGAGGTGAGGGGAATAACATCACTCATGTTTTGGCTGGGGTGAGCGACTGAATTGCCACCACAGATGGGAGAGTTTCATTAAGCGTACTGAATAGTGGCAGAGGTAAAAGAGGGGGTGGGGTTCGCCGTTCGGATGTTTGCCACATCTGTATGTAGTTGCCAACTAGTCGTGCCTCCAAATAACTGATTGACATCTTTGTCTTGAGGCAGTTTGGTGCATGCACCATAATCGCAATCGGGTTTGACTGTCCGATGCAGCCTATTTGAAAGTATCGCAGACTTTCGCTGGGGATTTTTCTGTCTTTTCTGTGCCTAAAGCTATTGTCTGATGTATCTAACTGCAATGCAAGGTCGTTTTGTCCTACCTGTGAAGTGGACAAGGCACCTTGAGTCTCTGCTGGCTGTCTGTGGGATTGCAAGTCTGTCATGACTTAGAGAAGACAACAAAGACGAAGGACTGACCGTCTGGCTCTGAGATGGAGGTGGGGAGGGGATGTGTTTCCTCTCCACACACAAAGACTGCAGAGCAGAGGGCATTTGTCTATCGAAATTCCAATCCGACAAAGAGGAAACAAGTCTCACAAGTTGTCATTGTTCCATTCTTCTTTTCTGTCCCATCATCCTATTGTTATTTTGCCTTCCATCACGTGCATATTTGCGCAAACGTCTTTGTATTTTACTTGCGACATTTTCCGGCTTGTGTGATTAATAATGGCAGGGAAAATTTCCCTCCAAATGTCTTTTCACAGTGATGCTGTAGGACACAAAGCAGACGTGATGCAGCCAGACACAAACTTTTGGCAGTGTATGAGCTACTGAGTTCAGCTCTGATGAAAGAAAAGAGATAGGCTTAGCTGGTTATGGCTGCCCTTCTCTTGTTCCCTGAGACCCTAACTCGTGAGTTCTTCCTTCAAAATCACGGGTCAGGAGCTTGGGAGACAGGTGGAGGGCTTTAGCACCTCTCCAAAAAATCCTCTCTCACAAAGTCAAATGAGCTTGTGCAACAGTCTGTTTGTCTACTTAGCACATACTAATCATATTGTGTTATATATATATATATGGGCTTTTCACACTGCGCTTAACCCTGGGTGAGCCTTTAAATCCCAGGTTAACCCCACTTTTAACCCTGGGTGAAGTGTTTCACACTTCTATTTTTAAAAGAGAGTTTGCACGGCTGTTAACCCTGGGTTAGAGCAGGGTTAACCAAGGATTTTGTGATGCTAACCCTCTAATTGTTGTGCCAAAAAAGTATACTATGTAAAACAATGCAGTGCTAAAAATGTATTGAAATTTATTTATCATCACACAACCAATCATAAATTGCTGCACTGCTTACCTCATTAAATATTCATGAGCTTTAAAGAGTCACAGAAACTTTCACACACTGTGTTGTTTTAGCATCTGAGGGGAAAAAATGTATACTGTTGTACTACAAATGATAGTATATTCTTGTAGTTTATATCATTTTAAAAGGTTTCATAACGTTTTATGTGGCATTTCCTAATGACTAAATGCATTTCCACAGATGAACATAGGTTCCAGGTTCCACAGGTTCACGTACTGCCTTTGTCACAAATTATTGTTTTGATTTTGCAAATTTGAATGGTAACCTTTAGTTTCCAAATATACTTTGTGAAATCTTAAAAATATGAACAACTAACCAAGAATAAAGTAGGAACAGTCTGAAACATAAAACAAGTGAGCCTGGGATTACATTAACCCAGTGTTTGGAAATGACAAGTGTGAATAGCCCACAGGCAATTTCTGTAACTTGACGTAACATTTCTCACACTTTAATAATCTTGAGGCACAACCGGTTTGTAAATTGGGAAATACCACACATCTGGCAGCTAAGGTGTCTGATTAGGTGGTTTTCCATCTAAAAAGTGCTCAGATGAGAGCATAAATTTATTACAATACTATAGTAAATGTCTAATTAAATGCAGCCAAATGTACATGTTCCTTATATGTAGTTTCGGTAAAATGAGATGTATTTTGTGGCTCTTTCACAAGCACAGCTAATGCATTAAAAGGTGTATCAAAAGGAGAATTTACTGGGAATTTAATATGTAGGTAATGCATTTGGTTTGCTTCCTGCTGGGCATATGGTTACTATTACAGTATATTGGCAGAGACAGAGATTGTCGAGAGTGTAGGGAGGGCAAATTCTGTTTTCAATAATTTTCGAAGAAGTTCTCTGGCAGATTAATTAAAAGCAGATTGGCTCCTTTATGGAATTATCATGGAGGCAAGATGTGCAATGGAAATAAAAGGTGGAAAAGGTCAGTATATTCCATTACTGTCCATGTGATATCTGTGAACAATGAAGGAGGATTAGGAATGTATTTTTTATCTAAGGAGCAGGCGGGATTTATTACCGTCACTCAAATATTTTACTCGTCTATAGAGTTTCCAATCAGACTCCAGTTCTGAGGATAATTGCTTTGCTTTCAATATGTCATTGCTGGGTTTATGACAGCTGTAAGCGAGTCTTCAAAGCATTTATGGATTAATAGCATAATTCTGCAGACAGTTCAAATGGCATTTGGTATGCTTGCCCGCTTGCTTCATATTGAATTCATATTAATAATTCTCTATTCCAGTACCTGGTTTTCCATTTGCATTAGCCCACATTTATTGTGGATGTGTAATTATGAAGCCACTGGGTGAGTAAGGTTTTGCTGTTAATAAGACAGAAAAAGAGAGATATATATATATATAGTAAGTATTGTATTTGATTACATCATTTTGATCGACTCTTGCTCCGTTTTTGTAAAAAAAAATGTTTAAATCCCTGACTCTCTAGAATGAGTTAGAGAAGAATAGAGGAGCATCTAAAAAATGCAACCTCAACAAAACTGATTGTCCTCTGACGCTAACCATCTAATTACGTACTGTATAGCTTTTATATATTTATTAAACTTCACTCCAAACCGTGGCAGTTTTCCAGCTAATAGGTGCTTGCTCCACAGAGCCCCCAGCAACAGTAGCGAGATAGTCATCCACCATGAATACAAAATAGTCAGGCATGGCACAGTAAGCCCAAAGCCACTAGACTCAGAGCATGCCCACTAAAAACCAGCCACTGTGTGTCAGTCAAATAAGACATTGGAAAGAGGGGAGTTGTGTACCTTTGGGATTCTATTCAGAGGTATAGGGAGGGTTTCAAAGTGGGAAACATCCAACTTGATGGTTTACAGCTTGCTGGATATTGGTAATGAGATGGTGAGTGATTTATGAAACTGTGGAGTAGGCTCTTTTCTATGTACTGTGAAAATTACAAATTAAATTGTGGAAGAAATTGGCAGTAAATCATGAGGCTTGTTGAACCTTTTTCTTGGGAAATCACAATCTGATTTATTTGGAATTATAAATTGAATAAAAGATCTTGATTGTGGACTTTCACAGTGATTTACCACCAAGAGCAGTAACAGTATGAGTCATGAATTGCGGGTAATTTCTATAGTGCAGAGCTGGCACGATTTCTACCCAATTTAAGTGATGCATTAAATATGTACTCCCATTGAGGTCAAGGAAGGCCTCAAAGTGAATTTCTTGACAGATTTTGCAAGAACGATTCCTAAGGTCGAAGCTATTGTCTCCATTTACTAAATGAGAGTCAAATAAGGACACAACAGCTGCTTTGGTAGTAGCTCTTTTCTATCTGCCTTTTTCTCTTTCTCTTCTATTCTATCACAATCACACACACACACACACACACACACACACACACACACACACACACACACGCACGCACGTATTTGCAAGCACACACTCTGATCAGAGTTGGTTGATGTCTGGGTTTTTCAGACACTGCGGCAGGCGTCCAGACAGTCACCTGAAAACACACTCCATCTTTGAGAGCACTGCCGCCATTGCTTTCACCCTCCATTTCAATACGCCGCATATAAATGATAACATTTTCATTTCATTTTCACGTTTCAATTTCTTGCACAACTGTAATAATCTCTTGAAAATGTGCTGTTGCAAGTCAAATCAATATTTTATGATCTTTTTTGCCTAATTTTAACCATGCGCTGTCAGACAGCCATTAGCGCCTGTGAGATTCACTTTAGTGTCGCCATTTAGATCTAGTCTGTAACTGATGCAAATGAAATTCTGGCTCCAAATCTCCCATTGTCCCTCTTCAACTCTGTTCCATCTCCTTGGCGCCCTCTACTTTGCTTTGTAGGTGTTGCCATGACAACCCAATCCCCGTGTACCATATTTCATTTCGCAACCGACAATGAGGTACACTGTGGCAGATATGTATCGGCACCACCAAGGTCACTTTCTCTCAGCAGTCTGTCTCCCAAAGGTGGCAACTAGGGATGTAACGATTAACCGCGAGCCGGTTGAAAATCGATTAAAATATGTTAAATCTCATTTTGTAAAAAAAAAAAACCGTGAATCGAATCGTGAAATCAAAAGTGAAGTTGAGTGAATCGTTACATCCCTATCCTCATGTTGGCCAGCCCACCGTGAGGTACTGAGCAGACACGGTGTGCACGGACACCATTTGATTTGAATATATGATATCCTATGATTAAGCTTGTCTGCACTTTCTCAGCCACCAGGTCACATTTTGCTGACATGTTTTCTTGAAGCTGGCTAAATAATCCATCAATGCAGGAAAACCTCACTGCGTCTCATATACTGAGTTTTAAATTCACTGTAATTGTAGGGGTATTTTCATGGAATGTTTATGTCATTTTCTGTTTGCAAAAAACTGTGCATATTGTGCCTCATATGGAAATGTAGCCGTTATTTATGGCCGATATGTAGGTTTACCGCAGATGAGTCGAGCGCCAATCTCTAAAACCCTCTAATAAGATGTTAAATGGGTGGTTTCGGCTCGAATTGAAATACCACAGATTGAGCCATTTTAAATGATGTATATGTGCGATTGTTGCTGAAACAGTGCTGTGTGTTTCATTTGCAGGCAACCGGCGGTGTTTAAGCGAAGCTCCTCAGACTTAGCACATCTCCGCACAGATGAGCTGAGAGGTCAATGAGTTTCTGGGCTGCCACAGCGACTGCCAAGTACAACCAGACACACTCTATCAGATGCATTATAAAACTGTTGAAACTCTGTCTCTTTCTCTCGCTCTGCTTCTCTCTCACACACCGAATACAAAATAAATACACCCTTTTATTACTTTCAAAATGCTTTTGACCAGACTTTGTTCAATAAAGGAATAAAAGGTGAATAACTTTATTCTCTTGCTTGTTTTTTCAAAGAAACATACTGAGACTTTTATACACAGGACATACAAGAGATTTTAACAGGTCAAAATTGTCCTTGCTGTTTTAATAGGAGGATATGATGGCATTTGAGTATAAATGTATAAAATGTATTTCACTCAGGCCGATTAATCTGAAGACATTTGGACATTTTAAGCATTTAACAGCATTGCCCTGTGCCTGATTATTGGCTGTTACTTTATAATTATTAAATGACAATAAATGAATTAATTAAAAAAAAAAAAACATTTTCCTGTGAATTTTGTAAATGCTATGTAAAATATTAGATATAATATATTATACAAAAATATAATTTAATACTCATAAAACATAAAATAACCTTTTGTGTAAAATATTTAACTAATATTCTGAGTATGAAACAATAAATATAGTGTTAAAGTTTTTTTATTCAAAATATTTTAATTTCGGCATTATATTGCTCTTTAGATATCAGCATCACGCTGTCCTTACTGGCCAGTTAATAGAAGTGGTCATTTTACAATAAGTAATGCACTTTTTAAATTTTATTTCAGAGGAGAATTTCTCCTCTTAATTTTGTAACTATTGTGTAAAGTAATACATCTTATTTTATTAATAAATGTTATTTAATACATATATTATAAAACAATTCATTTTAAATAAAACGTTTTTATTCATTATTTTAATTTAAATTGAGCATTATATTGGCCTGCTGTTTAGATATCAGCATCAGCCTGTCCTGATAGGCCTAATTACAGAAGTGGCCATTTTACAATGAATAATGCACTTTTTTTTTTATAATACACCCACAGTTAAAAAATCCTATTAATTTTCTAAATATTGTGTAAAATATTAAATAATATTTTATTATATTTATAATATATAATTTAAAAATAAAAATTTATAATATATTATATTAATTAATATTTTAATACATATAATATAAAGCATTATAAATAAATTAAAAAGAAATAAGTATATCAAAACACATATATAGTATAAATATTTCTGCATTATTTTATTTATTTTAAAAAACACATATCCTTTGACCACTAGAATACACAAAATCCCATCTGCTTTACCTGCTTGGGATCATGGATCCAAAGCCCAGGAAAAACTGTGTTCTGCATGTCATTCTCCCAGCTAAAATCATTCATCTCTCTTCCATAGCCCCCTCTCTCCACCAGTGAGCTGAGGCAGTGAATGAGAGCTGCATTCTAATAGGATGAATCCGGTCACTGCTGTAGGGGGGTACCGTGGGAGTCCAGACAGAGAGCCAGATGCAGACAAAAGCCCCATGCTTCACCCAATTTACCTGCCACAGACACTACCTGGTACACAACCTGACCAATCCACAATACCCCCTCTATTGTTCTCTTGTCAAGGGCAATGAAAAGAATAGCTCCTTTTTCCTATACAAGCTTTTCCCACAAGCCACACTTTGAGCATTAGTGCTTTATTGAGACATTCACTGAAAATGAATGAGGCAGATTAAACCGAAGTGGCGCTTCTTTTGGTTCAGATTTGGCAGACTGGCTTAGTAACAGCCACAGGTCTCCAGTGTATTACCATATCATGAGTCTCGAATGTCAATTCATTGGTTGGTTTTATCCGTCTGCATGCATCAGATCTGCATCAGACACGAACCCGACATGTGAAATTTAAGCTTATACGGAAGGACGTGAGGCAGCCAAATCAAACATTCTTTTAAGTCATGCATTTTGCAGAGATGTTAGGCAATTGGAAACACAATTATAGCTCTTTGTACTCTGCAAAGCAGCAGATAGCATATGGTCACAAATATATCTTAAATTATGCGTCTAATCATATATATATATGGTGCCATAAAGCTACACTCATATTGCTCCAACTTTGACATTGTTGCTCAACTAATATTATGTTTTGTAATAGTTCACCAAAAATAAAAATTAGCTTAAAGTTTATTCACACTCAGGCAATCCAATATAGATGAGTTTGTTTCTTCATTCGAACAGATTTGGAGAAATTTAACATTACATCACTTGCTCACCAGTGGATCCTCTGCAGTGAATGGGTGCCGCCAGACTGAGTGTTCACAATAATCACAATAATCCACAAGTAATCTACATGAATCCAGTCCATCAATTAATGTCTTGTGAAGTGAAAGCTACATGTTTGTAAGAAAAAAAATCCATCAAGACACAAAATGGATGTTTTTCACTGGAGGAAGTGTTGTTATGGTTCATGGTTTAAAGTTAAAACACCTTTATGATGGTTGTTGCAGCTTTTTGCTTCACAAGACGTTAGACTGGAGTGCTGTGAATTACTTGTGGATTATTGTAATGTTTTTATCAGCTGTTTGGACTCTCATTCTGATGGCACCCACCCCATTCACTGCAGAGGATCCACTGGTAAGAGAGTGATACATTTCTAAATTTCTCCAAATCTGTTGAAGAAACTCATCTACATCTCGGATGGCCTGGGGGTGAGTAAATTTTCAGCAACTTTTCATTTTTGGGTGAACTATTCCTTTAATATGCTTATCATTCAAAAAAATTTAATTGGATACCCAAATAAATATGGAATGTACCAGCTACTGCATATTGGATGGAGTTATGAATGTTTTGAAGCTGGTAGCCTAAGGGCTGGAGAGATGCCTACCTCTCTCCCTTCACAGGCCTCTGTCTAATTATACATTCCACTGAGAGATCTCTACTCAAATGGCCTGATCCCTACATGTGCAAATTCATATTTCTATCCAAACTGTACACCAGCCCCAAAAGACCCAAATGAGAAAAAACTTTTTGAAAAAAAAAAAAAAGTCTTATTAATATCAGCATCAGAACAGGGTGTTCAACGCACCACCCTTTCCGTTTAAAAAACGTTTAGCACCGTTTTTGTCGGGACTGAACGCAGCCCAGGACTCTTGTATCAGCCTGAAGGGGTTTATTCTGAGATAACAACCGGCTAGATGTACATTATCCCGCTTATTACACGGCTAACTTACTTGCCACATAAGTAAATAATTAGACGCGAAATATTGATTTGAGTTGAAACATTTGAACGCAAAGCTTCCGTGAAGACAGCAGTTGCGAGCAAGCGGCAAATTATACCTCGGAATGTCGCGACTGACCAATCAGAATCAAAAATGTCACAACTAAATGGTCTCATTTGTGGGGTTGATGCTTATTTACCCATTCTCAAATGGATTGATTGAAATAGCTACAGACAGAACAACAGTGTGACCAAAACAGGTGGGTGAAGAGAATTAAACCAGACCAAGAGATGCACCAACAGCTTTCAAACTTAGAGCGGTTTAATTATGTTGCCTATGTTTCATAGGTTATTTGTCTTTACTGAGCTGAAATTGTTCAATAATAACAAGCAAATAGATTACTCTATGTTGAAATCTTCCATTGCAAGACCAGAAATAAATTTTAACTTAAAATTAATTTGCCATTGCACTTCATGCCACTAATAAATTAAAATGAAACAGATTTTTCTTTAAGTAGCCTATAATGCACAACTAAAACAAAATGCTATTCTATTGCAATATCGTGCAAATAAAGCAGTAGGATCCAGTGTAAAGGTAAAGCCTGCCATCTAGTGGTTTAAAGAATATATTGCCTACTTTTTAAAAATGAAGGACACCCCGTGTATAAACCAACCTTATTTTGTTATTTTGATAACAGTTTTATGAGAAAATAAGACTTATAATTATGCCTTTACAATGCCTTAGATATTTGAAAATATCTAACATGGATATTTTACAGTCTTAACGTCACTGCTCTAAAAATTATTGTTGACATTTACAACAAAAAAAGTCAATACATTATTTTATTTTATTTCATTTGATTGTGGTTTATCCATTATAATAAATTGAAATTTATGTATTTCTCAGGCTGGGCTTTAATCTCCCTACTTGAACATTTTTAAAGGATTGATATGCAACTGAACAGTATTTATTTCCTCAACCCCCAATGGATCAGTAATTTCAACCTAATCTATCCTCCTTATTTTTCCGGTAAGAGTGGGCGACCATTTGTATGGGTCTGGCTTCTGGTGTCATTCGCTTCCAGCTGTTTTTAGCTGTACAAAACAGCTTGTTTCGTTGCTCAATATTGCAAACTGGTGTGTCTTACCATATTATTTTAATGTATTATCTTAATTATGAACACACTGGTTTGTAGTGCAAACAGTTTTACCATTTACTGCACTTTGTTATTCTCCTGGTAATTTCCCTACAGCGGCTAATGAACCAGAAGTCTCGCACATTTACAGAAAACGACTTGCTTCCGTGTTGAAAGAGAAAGTGGATAGGGCAAAGGTTACTGTTCTCAGTCATGTGGTGGTTAAGGTAAAAGAAAGTAAGTAAGCTAAGATATGCTACCAGTGTGAGCTGAAATCCTACCCTGTAGCTGGAGGAAGAATGAAATTAACATATTTAAATTTCAGCATATTTGCTTGCAGGAAATGCCTTAATAGAGGTCAAAGCAGCTGTGCCGTAGGCTCTCACATATGCACATTTTCAAGCAATATAGGCAGACAGGATGGTGCAGGAATATGCCAAGCTCATAAGAGCATGATGAAGTCCTTTGAGATAAACATATTCAAATTTCTGCCTCCAGCTCACTGGAAAATTTTTAAGAAAAAAGCAAATAAATACGCTGTAGGCCAGAAAGAGTGATTGATGCTGACCTTCCATAAAGCCCTTCATAAAAGCCACACCT